TCCTTTTGTCCCTCTGTGGGGGGACACTCCCACTAGGGTTATATCTGGGACTCTCCACCATTTGACCTTAGAACTGAAGAAGCCTCTCGGATGAGAGGTGAAACGTCTTCAAGTAACTTAAAGAAGTCCAGACGCTTTTCTTTGCAAGCTCCTTTGACTACGGTGAGAGGAATTGCATTAAACTGGTTAAGTAGTTATCTAGAAAATAGGACCCAGTATGTGCATTATTTAGACAATTCCTCTGAAAGACTGAAAATTGAATGTGGGGTTCCTCAAGGTTCTGTTTTGGGACCAAAACTTTTTAATTTATATATAAATGATATTTGTGATGTGTCCAAAATGTTAAATTTCGTTTTGTTTGCAGATGATACAAATTTTTATTGTGCTGGGGATAAATTGAAAGAATTGGCTGAATTAATGGTTTCTGAAATGGAAAAACTAAAAAAATGGTTTGAGGTAAACAAATAATCTTTGAACTTGACAAACACAAAATTTATGATTTTTGGAAATCAGGTAAAAGAGGATGAAGTAATTCTGTCCATTGATGGAGTTTTGATTGACAGAGTTACTGAACTCCGTTTTTTGGGGGTAGTATTGGATGATAAATTAAAATGGAAATCTCATATTGAACATGTTAGAAAAAAGATGGTTAAAAATATTTATATTCTGGGTAATGTCAGAGATATATTAGATTATAAGGCAATGCGTATTTTATATTTCTCACTAATTTCCCCCTATCTCAGTTATTGTGCTGAGGTGTGGGGGAATACATATGCGACTAATATACATCCTCTATACTTGCTACAGAAGAAAGTGGTACGAATGGTTCATATTGTTAAATATAGAGAACATACAAATAATCTGTTTATAAAATTGAAATTGTTAAAATTTGAAGACTTAGTGAAAATACAGACATTATTATTCATGTTCAAGGCAAGAAATAATACATTACCTCTTAAGTTACAAAGTTACAAAGACTTTAAGCACCAGTTTGGACCACACAAAGACAAATGTGTCCGACAGTTAAGGGTATAAGAATCTCTTCAAGATAATCTCAAGAGCTGTACAAACATACACCGTTTTAAATGTGTTACATACTTAACAGGATAAATCAATATGAAGAACATGAAAGTAATTTGGGCTAAATGTGGAAGGAGAACATTTCATTGCTATTTAATGCTGCATATTGTTGATTATACTGATTTGTTGTTTAGTTTTGCATTGTTACACAAAGATACATGTTAGAGGGTTTTTTGGGCGGGTTGTTGGCGCCCTCTTGTAAGAATAATTGGATTGCAGATAGGGGGCAGGTGCTAACAAGAATTTATTCTTCTTCCTGCTCCTTTTCACCCACGGGTGCAGTGTTATATTAATGGGAAGTAGGATCTGTGTGTAGGAAACGAAACACTGTTGAACCACGTGTGAAATAAATAAAGAAATGAAATGAAAGAAATGAACTTTTGATTACGTCACACCTGCCATACAACAGCAGAACTGGTGCAATGCTGTGTCAAGCTTTCCAAGTGTAAAGCTTCTTGTTAAGCTTCTTTCAGCTTTTGAAATTTTGTACATTCATGCATTTAACAAGTTTAACTTAAACACAACAAAATTATTCTCCCCTGCTAATTTGTGCTGTAGGTTTTATTTGTTCAACTTAATTGTATATGTAATGTTAAGTACATTTATATTGATCTGTTGGAGAATGCAAACAGTAGATGTAAAAACCCATTTATTTGAGTAAGAGTAGAACCATCGACCAGATGTTTTAT